TATTAATAAATATTAATATAATATATTAATAATATAATTATTAATATAATTATTAATATAATTATTAATATAATTATTAATAATATATTATATTAATATTTATTAATATAATATATATAATATATTATATATTATTTACATTATATTCAATAATACTATTTAATTATATTACTATCATCAACATACGCAAAAATAATATATCCAATAAAAAATGAACTACAAAGCGTCTTATCACCAATCTAACGATAAGAAAACATTTCTTTTTTCTCATTTATGTATGTTTGTTTTTTCTCAGATGGGATTAGGATCAATTTATAATTATTTGTTGATTGTCAAAGATATTTCTTGTTATTAGTATTTTTAGTTGAAATAAATTAATCTGACTGATTATACATTTCTTTGATTATATGTTATTATTTGACATTTTAATGTTATTATTTATACGTGATATAATATTATAAACGTTCAGTATATTGAAAATAAATAAAATTATACTTTCACAATTCCTTGAACGAATACTATTGTATACTCCACATTGATTTATCGATCGTATCGAGAATAACTTTTTAATAATGTCAACATGTGCATGTTTGCCTGCTAAATTTCACTATTTCATATATGCATTTCAAACATTTATGTTTAATTATTTCCTTTGATACTTATTAATATAACAAACAAACAAAAATATAAAAATCACATTTTTATTTAACCTTCTATGTGTCGAGTATTTTCATTGATGTTCTCCATTTTGAAATCCCTGTATAAATATTATACGCAATAAAGTGAGATATTACGATTAGGATAATAAATTAAATTGATTAATTCTCTATTATATTAATTATTTAATTTTAAAACTTGAGTATTATCAAATTACGAAATAATTAAAGGAAATAAATACGCGATAAAAAGAACAAAAAATAAATTAAATGACTTTAATTTAAATTTAAGGTATAATGGTTGAAACAATTGATATTTATTAAATTTTGTGTATTAATATTTGTAACAAGGGTGAAGGATTGAATTATAAAATGCAAAGAAATAATTTTAAATAATAAAAAATCTAAATAATGAAGAAACAATTTATATCTTTTATATTTTATTATCTATTTTTAGAATTTTTTTATATTAAACGTTAATATAATTTTTATTTGTTAAATTAATTAATCTTTGACGATAATTCGGAAGTAATTCTTATTTATACTTATTGAAAGATTTACAAAATAAAAAAATAAAATAAATATGAATGTATCACAAAGTGGTTAGGTGAGAGACAACAACAACAACAAGAACAACAACGATATAGGAAAATTAAAAAATAAAAGTGATAGTGAAAATGAGACATCTTTAATTGGCAAAAGCTGCTTGTCAAGTTGACGTCAATATTTTTTCTTCTATAGAAGACTCAAGATAGTCACGTAATAAATTGCAAAGACGTGTTCTGTACGCGAAACATGAGACAATTTTAGGTTAGTTAATCTTACTCGATCTTTCTCACCAAGTACTATTCCATGGGTGCAAAGTAATAAAGTAGCTGGTATTCCCTATTTTTCATCTCCCTTTTTTATTTTTTTTTTTCTACGTGGTGGTGAAAGTGGTGGTGGAGTTGGGGAAGAGCAGAAAAGAAAAAAAAGAAAATTTCGTTTCATATAATTACATTCTCCAAATACTTTTGTTTTTTATATCCACCATTGGAATTTATCGAATATGAACTCATAATTGAATTGTTTAATTTTGCGTAAAATAAAATAATAATATTAACTTTCATATTAGTTATCCTTTAAAGGGTTTTTCTTTTATATTGAATTATTATTCTTTCGTAAAGGGTTGATTTTAAAGTAGATATATTACAAAGAATACAAAAACTCGGGATGTAGAAATTATTTAAAAAGTAAATAACGATGTTGGTTTTTTATTGCAACTGTTGCGTACAGGTGCCTTGATCAGTACGATGTTATTTATTTATCGTAAAAGAAAAAGGTTTTAATGGATTGTGGAGGAATGTGAATTAATGTGAATTGGATTGTTGTTCCTTTATTTGTGGTTGTTCCTTTATTGTTTGTTATATAGTACGCTGTTGCGTTGTTGTTTGTAAACTATCGCCCCGATGCTAAGCTGCCTGATGATTGCGTTGCTTGTGACTCGAAGAGATGTGGCTAGGCTGCTTTGTCGGGTGCCGATGAGTTTTCCTTGCTCTTGATGCGTTGGTTGTATGTGAATCGAGAAGCATTGCTGACTGAATGAATGCATTGACGATTTTCCGTGGCCCTTTATAGGGAACGGGTAGTCTTGTGTACTCCCTTCCCCAAATTGATTGGCCAATGACCGTCGGGTCACTTTCCATGGTCCGCCGACGAGTATAGGGTTGTAGAGGGAAATCAAGCTGCGCGGGAAAGCCTTGTCTTAAAGAAGTAGCGTTGTGTCCACTTGTGCTAGCGCATGCGAGGAAAGAACCGGCGCCGGTAGGTCCCGCTTCTGTGGGTCCTGCTCAAAAATTTGATCGCGCCAAACAACACCTCACACAATTCACATCACACGTTGCGCAATACGCAACAGCAACGTTTATTTAAAATAAAAAAAATCTCTCATAGATTATATAAAACGTAAATGGAGAAAGTTTTTTTTTCCATGAGGTTGAAAAAACTTGAAAAAGCAAATATAAGTTGAATAAAAAACATTTGAATTTTGAAAAATGTAATAAAATACATTCCTAGAAAAAGAATTATTATGGTGAATTATATTATCATTATAATTGTTACATTCTCGTTATGGTTGTTGTTTTATGGTACAAAATTAAAGATGATAGACTTTTAATTGAAATAACATGTAGTATAAACATATGTGTGTCATATATGTATGTATTATTCTCTTTTTATTTTATTTTTATTTTTTGATAAGCCTGGAATGTTCATTTCATTTCTTTTAAAATAAAGCATGATTTTAAGACTGGATAGAAAATGTTGAAAGGACAGGGAGACAAAAAATAAAAACGAAAAAGTTTAAAAATAGCGTCAGCTGGGACAAGTATTTTATCAGAGTAGTGGTATACTGCCGGGATAATACTTTTGGTCCTCGGTTTAGGGTGGTCTACGTGAGCTATGTCTAACTCACTAATAAAATTCTGAATTGTCACCTTTATTTTTTTGAAATACGTCACTTTTATTTTTTCTACTACGGAGCTTTGAATTCCATAAAAAAAAAATAAAATAAAAAAAATATCTTTTACGATCTTTACTTTTATTTTTATTACCTTACTAAAATAAATCTGATTATGTTTTTTCTATGCTGGTAAACACAATTTTTTATTAGTAATAAAAAATTTATATATATATTCAAATTTATATTTATATTTATATATAAATATTTAATAATAATATTTCATATATATTTTATATATATATAATTATGTATAAAATTAAATAATTATATAATATTATTATGTAATTATATAATATTATTTTATAATTAAATATTATATTATATAAATATATAATTTTTTATATTTAATTATAATTATAATTTAGAATATATAATAGATACTATATTAAAAAAAAAATAATAATATAATTATATAATATTTAATATAAATAATATAATTTATAGAATTAATTATAAAATTATATAATTAAATTTAATATATTAAATAAATATAATTAAATATAATATAATTAAATATTATATATTTATATAATATAATATTTATAATATTTTTTATGTAATTTAATATTCTGTATTCCTTCTAAAATCTGTATATATATACTACACATCGTATTTATGGTATCTTTATAGATATATATCATAAAATCCATATTTATTATTTATTATTAAATTAATTAAATAGAATTATTAATAAAGAGATAAGTAGAAACACGTATAAACTGATATAAAAAACGTTAACCGTTCGTATTTTATTTCTTATATATATATCATTTCTAATATAAATCTTCTATCTTATTTTCTCTCATAAATTTGTTCAGAATATTAGATTCCGAAAGATCAGATTGTTCCCAGTAGGATTTTCTTGTTTACGGTTATCTGAAGGGTCTCTTTGGGAAATCTTTCCCACACAAACCTTTTCTTTCGTCGAATGAACTTTTACTTTGGCTTGTTTTCTCTACGAAAGAGAAAGAGAGAGAGAGAGAGAGAGAAAGAGAAAGGAGGTTAGAAAAATAAAACAAATAGAAAGAAATTGTTGAAGTCAGCCAACTATTGACGAGAAATTCTGAACGAATGGTTTTTTTTTTTTTTTTACTTTTTTTTCTTTTCTTTAAAACGATCAAAGGGATACTATTGCTGATGCTTATTTAAATAAACGAATAATTGTATCCATCAAACAATTTGTATAATAATAAAAAGAAGTGTAAAAGTTTATATTCGAATAATGAAAAATAAATATCACGAGAAAACTTACTTTTTTCATATTGAAGTAGCATTTTTAAATTATTCAATATTTTATATTACTACATTTTGAAATTATTTAATATCAATGATCTCAAAATGTTCATAATAATTATTTACATTTTTAATTTGATAGAATTAGATACAAAATTAAAGATACTTCTTTAAACTTATTACAACTCGTGTAATATTTAACTTTAAATTTTTGTGGAAACCCCCTGTTAAATATTACAAATGTATTTTATTTATTTGTAGTGAATCCTTTAGTAAAAAAAAAAAAAGTAAAAGTAAATTTTCTTCAAAGCAAAACTTGTAAGAATTTAATATATATCTCTTTGAGAATATTACTTTGGATTTAACAAGGATTCTAAAAATGGATAAAAAAATTTTGGAATATATGTACTACTTCTTATTCAGATTAGAATGAAATTCAAAGACGAAAATCTTGACAAAAAAAGAACAAGAACGACTTAAAAAAGAACTAAACTACTTCTAGAAAATTAGTAGCATAACTTTCGTATATAATTTTATTTACTTTAGAAATATTAACTTTTTAATAGTAAAACTTATCGAATGATTTGATGTCAACGAGACAAATTGAAAATCTCGATAACGTGGTTTTTCACAATAAAAAAACATGGAAAAAGTATTTTTTTTTCTTTCTACTTTTAATTAGAAATTGGTAAACCTCTCTGACGATAGAATATAAACTTTCATCTAAAAAAATAACGTATCTATAAAATAAATAGTAAAAAAATACACTTTCAAAGAGTTCATACCATGTTTTTATTTTTTTTTGTCACCCTGCAAATGAGCTGCGTACTTATTATACATTTTTTCTTTTCTTTTTTTTTTGTATATTTTGAAAGAAAGAAGTATACTCCAACCAAGAAGTCTCTCTAGTTGGTTTCATTTTCGTGAAAAATGTTTTATGCCCGTGGTAAAAATTTTCTGAATAAAATAAGAAAAAAATTACTTCTTAAGAATTTTATATCTAATTTGGGTTAAATCCTTTCTCTAGATCCTTTAAAAATGCTTTAAGTTTTTTTTACGAATGATTTATGCACGAACATTTCATTGTCAAGAATATTTTTAGAGTAAAATTCAACTTAAGATAATTTTATAATACATTTAAGAATCATTTGGATGTTATTCATAAGAAAAGTTTGATAAAAACTATTTAACAAGATAAACTTTCTACAAATCCTTTCAACAATTTTCAATTTCTTTCATATTGTTAGTAAAACATTTTACATATTTTAGTAAAACAATCACGATAACGAATATTCAAATGAGTTAAAAATTATAATAAAAATATAATAGTTCTTATTTTATTGTTATTATTATTATTATATAGTCATTACTTTATTATAAATTATGTTGTTCAGTTAAATAATTAGTGTTTAATCATCATTGCAATTATAAGATTAATTCATTTAACAAAATTTATGGAAAAAAATGAATCAAGTTCATTTGTTAGATTTATTATTATATATTAATATATAATTTTCATCAAAAGTTGATTGAAAGAAATTTGATTAAAAACATTTAAAAAAATGATAACTATTAAAGATAAATAATTATTGAAAAAATATTATTTTTTACAGGCTGTGTCAGATTTGTTGCTCGGGGTATTCTGCATGCCATTTACTTTATTGGGACAAATGTTGAAGAATTTTGTTTTTGGCATTATGATCTGCAAATTAATATCATATTTTCAAGGTAAGACAAATTTGATTAATGTTTATTGAATATTTTCTATATGAATATTTTTATAATTTAAAATTTAATTTGAAATTTGAAAGAAATCTATTTTAATAATTTAATAAGTATTTTATTCATCAAAAAATAAAAATATATATATATTTTATTTATTAATAATAATTGAGGCGTTCAGTGCACACATCGATTAACTCCACTGTCATGACACACATGACTATAGCAAGTGTCAAAGCACTTGGTATAGTCATAACTTTTTATATTTATAATAACTTTCCCGAATAATAAAGATTAACACCATTAAACGGCAACATTTTTTTGGCCATTGAATAATAAGTAATATACAATATACATTATTTAATCGCATTTCTCAACTTTTTGTTTTATGGTGTTAATCGATGTGTGCACTGAACGGCTCAATTCTCGGTGTTCTTGGTGATTCCAAAGTGGGAAAATAAAAAGAGACTGTTATTTGTACATTTGATGTTAACCAAAGAAAAAACTTTAATTATAATTAAACAAACACACACACAATTATACACACTTATTTCAAACTTCACACGACAAACAAGCATTGTATTTCCAAGAGAACAAATAAGATCTGAGATCTTTGATGTCGTTTAATTTTGATTGTCTCTTGTGAAAAAAAAAAAATAGAAGAATAATAATAATTATTTGATTGAACGAATTTAAACAATTTGTCTATTTGCTTTGGCAACAGTTCTTTTTTCTATTTTTATTTTCTTTTTGTTTTACAAAGAAAAATTTTTCTTTCTATACGACAAAACTTTCATCTAACAATAACATCGACTTATTTTTTTTCCTCAACGTGTTTTCTTGTTATCCTTGCATTTTCTATCTCTTTTGTAAACTTATTTCATGAAATGTTTCTCTCTCCTAACGTTATTTAAGTTTATTTTCATTCTCTTGGATGCACCTGTGCTGTTTTATACATTTCTTTTCCACATTATTCTGTTGATACATTTGTTCAAACGAGATTGTACGATAAGTATGAAAGTTCCTAACGTTAGATAAATATATATATATATATATATATATATATATATATATATATATGTGTGTGTGTGTGTGTGCGTGTGTGCGAAATTCATTAGTTCATGGAATATTTATTAAATGTGTGAACAAGTCGGAATGAAAGAGAACAAAAAATCCAAGAATCGTGAAAATGTTCGTCGTATTCGAAGATAAGAATCTGATTATGAGATTGTAAACTTTATTACTTTCAGTATATTTTTCTTTACGTAATTGTGATAAAAGAATATCTTATTTTAGCATATTAACACCTTATCTACTCTCTCTTTTTTTTATCTTTTTCTTTGAAACAATAAATAAATATATCAATTATTTCTTTTCTTTTCTTCTAATTAATAGAACTAAATAAATATTTGCTCGTTCTTTCATTCTTTTTTGTTTATTTATTTATTTTTTAATTTCTTTTTCTCTCTCTAATTTTCTGAAAATAACTACTAACAATTTTCGAATGATTTATTTAATAATTATAAAAATGTGCGCCTGTATTTATGCAATCATCCCGACACACTTTGAAAATGTTGCTTGCGAGCGCTATCTGTCGGAAAGGAATTTTTTTTAAGCCGAAACTGTTTATACATGCATGTATTACGGGTTGCCTATTTTTCGAGCAGAAAAAATTTCCGTCCTAACAGATGGCGCTCGCAAGCAACATTTTCAAAGTGTGTCTGGAGGGTTGCATTCCAACAGGCGTAGTGTTTTTATGAATAATGATAAACATTGAACTTTTATTTTGTATTTGATACGCTTCGTAGTATGTAGTTATAGATAAACACACACATATACGATGCTTAGTAGCCAGGTGTGGGGACTACGAAGCACTGAACGAAGAGGTGATTGAGAATAGGAAAAACTGTTTACTATTTTCTATCTCATTCTTTCAAAAGGTTAAATCCTATAAATTTATATATTTTTATCTCTTTCTCTCTTCTTACTAACATAGCCGTCCTCTTCGTTTCATCGAATTTTGTTTGTTTTGTTTATCCCTACCTGTCGCTTTTTCCTCGCATCCGTTTTTAAATCACCCCCCACCATTCTAAAGAAGTTTTCACTTCGAAAATACTCACACAAAAGGTGGTTCATTTAATTATATGCAAATATTATACAATGGTATTTTTTGTTTTCTAACTATATGTTACAGTTGTTTCCGTTTCCGTCGGAGTTTGGACACTGGTTGCTATTTCTTTAGAACGATATTTTGCTATTTGTCGACCATTAAAGTCACGTCGTTGGCAAACCCAATTTCATGCATATAAAATGATCGTAGTTGTTTGGGTTTTATGTCTTACATGGAATGTACCGATACTTATTGTTTCACAAATTCAAAATATCAGAGGAGGTAAATATCATTGTTATATAGAAATTATTGTTAACATACATAAATCATCAATTAGTTTTATATCATATATTGTAAAAATTATTAACAATATAATATAAATAATAATCGTTAATACATTTAATTGTCCTCGAAATAAGGATCCTTAGTACAAATTTGCTTAATAAAAATTGCATTTTATTAAATAAAATCACCTAAAGATGTTTCAAAATTGTTTTCTTTTTTTTTCTATGGAAAATTGGTATCATACACTTAAAGTTTAATTCTTAACTTTATGTTTTTCGGATTAAAATATTATAATTGTTTCTTTTTTTTATGTTGATTTATTTCAGGAAGAAGAAAATGTAGAGAAGTATGGGCAAGTATTCGAACAGAACGCGTATACAATTTATTTTCTGATGGAACGTTACTTCTTTTACCTTTAATTATTATGACCATGGCATATTCTTTAATTGCCATTAAACTTTGGCGAGGACTTAAGAGAGAGATGACACAAAATTTCAAATCACAACGCAAATGTAAGTAATCATAAAATAACAAATCATTAAATAATTAGTATTTAATTACTTTCTCAATGTTTCTCTTATTTGTTTCATAAAAATTCTGATATTTAAGTATTTTATCATACAACTACAATATTATATGTACACAGATATACACATATATACATAGATATACATAGATAACAGATAATTTGATCCTTTATTTGTACTTTAATCTCATAAGCTTCAAATTTCATTGCGAATTGGTGAGTTATCATTAATTGAAAAAGTAATTAATGAAATATTATCAAAAGATAATAATAAATGCAAAATTATCTTTTATTATTTAACATTATATATTCTGTAGGTAATTACAATTAATATATAATACATTTATTTATTCGTTGTTCGTTGTGCAAACTCGTTGAATTAATAAGTTTAACAGTTGTATACTGTATACTGTTACAGACTGCAATTTATATATTGGTTTCTAATTGATTTACAAGTTCGAAAAGGGTAGTTTAAACGTTGATACAATTTGTAAAGTAAACTTCTTAATTTATTATCCTATGGTTTAAAGAAAATTATCCGATTAATCAACGTCTTCAACTTATCATTTTTTAATCACCATTACGATAAAATAAAATATAATTTCATTCAGAATTGTGTTTTTAATTTAATTTTATATATCACAAAATATTTATGATAATAAGAATTCAGAATTTATGATAACGATAAGGGATCGTTATACAATATATTGAAATTATTTTTTATATTGCGTAAATTACAGTAAAGAAAAGTGGAGGAGCTACATCATCGTTAACTACTGCGAATGGTACAACTAGGAAAAATGGGAAACATGAATCTAACGTTACGATAGTTGTAAATGCGTGTAATTCAACGAAGGTAAGTTTGCAATTACAAAAATTTTATTTTTTTATCTAATTGATAAACAACAATTCGAAAGATGACCAACTTTTATTGAACGAATATGAGTGAAACGTATTGAAAAATGTGCATGATTTATTATTAATAATTGGAATATATATTTTATTAATAAATAAATAATAATAATATTTAAATTATATATATAAAATAATATAAAATAATTTATATATAATATATAAACAAAATTAAATTATATAATAATATAATAATAATTATTTAAATTATACATATTGAACAAATGTAACAAAATAGTACGAGACATCCCAAATGATTTTTATTATTATTATTAATTGTTCTTGTTTTTTTTGATAATAAAATATTTTTTTTCTTTTTTGACAATTATTTTTGACAACTGTTCATTTAATTTAATAAACAAGGCACGTGTACCGCAACAAACAAGAATGGATACAATGATGCTAGGTGTTACAAACAGTGAAGAATCCACTGAATCAAAGACAGTAAGAATTTCTCAAGATGGAACCAGCAAAAATTGTCTTTCAACAAATAGAAATTCAAACAAATTGAGGAACGAGAATTCCAAAAATTCCAATTCTTCTTGTCCGTTAGGTAGACAGCATGTTGTACGAAATAATCAACTTAACAAAAGTATTGAATCGAAGAAAAAGGTAAGAAATTAATTATTATAATAACAAATTATAATACTAACCCTTGATTATTATTATTATTTCTTTTTTTAAATATTTAAAAGAAATTAAGGAAATTTGATAATCAATTTGTCGTTAAATAAATAAAAAAAAGAATATAGTTATTTAGAACTGGATAAAGTTATTTTTTGTAAAGATACAAATATTTCAAATAATCTAAATACAAATATTTCAATAATTTAAATACAAATTTTGAAAATAATTTAAATACAAATTTTGAAAATAATTGAAATACAAATTTTGAAAATAATTAAATACAAATTTTGAAAATAATTTAAATACAAATTTTGAAAATAATTTAAATACAAATTTTTAAAATAAAGATATTTGTTAAGAAACAAATATATTTATTTTTTATTTAATGTTTTTTGCTGGCAAAAAATATTGATATATTCAATCATGATTTTTATGATCTCATATTGAGTTTGCAATACAATCGAATAAAAAAACAAAGAAACATATTTGGAAATTTGTTTACAATTAATTTGCAGGTTATTAGAATGCTATTTGTGATAGTTTTGGAATTCTTCGTATGCTGGGCACCATTGCACGTAGTCAATACGTGGTACCTTTTCACTCCGGAATTAGTTTATTCCATTGTTGGGAGTACTGGAATCAGTTTGATACAATTGTTAGCGTACATTTCCAGTTGTTGCAATCCAATTACTTATTGTTTCATGAACAAAAAATTTCGTCAAGCATTTTTCGGCGTCTTTCATTGTCATCGTTGCTGGAGGTAATAATAACAATAATATAAATAATATATACATAATGTTAAATAACTTTTGTTTTTTATAAAATTGGCTTTATTTTGGGTAAATTCTTTTAAAATATCATCCCCCACTCTCATTCAATGATTTGAAAGTCAAAAGAAAAATTTTTAATTAACCATAAATTTATTCTTCTCTTGTGCGAGTGTGTGTGTATGTTTGTGTGTAAGTAAAAAGTAAAAAAAAAAAAGATTGAACAAAACAAAAGATTGAATTGTTGCATATTCATTTTACCATTAAATTGTTTCAGAATTTTTTTTTATTATTTCGATAAAATAAAATTATTCATTTTCATATTACGAACATGGAGAATGTGAAGATTTAGGATTAATTATAAAATATAATTTAGTTTTAAAGTTTGTTTTATTTTTTTTTTTTTAAGTTTCACAATCGTTCCCATTATCGATACAAAAAAAATGTTTTATCGTTCGGAACCACGATGCGTTTAAGTGAATTTTATTTTTTTTTTACTATTCTTTCTGTTCGTTCTTGTAAGTTCTTCATTTAAAAATCATTTACATTAATGTAACACAAAGGAAATATTTTTCGAACGTAGTTATTTCTATCATTGTTTAAACTCATTTTTTATTTAAAAATACAATATTAAAATAACAGAGTATTAAATGAGAATTCCTTTTAAGTTTTGTAACTTTTTTACGATTTCGTAATAGGGTTTATTTTCTTTTGATAGAAATATCGTTAATATTCATTCAACGAGAAAGTCATCCGTATAATGATAATAATAATAATAATAATAATAATAATAATAATAATAATAATAATAATAATAATAATAATAATAATAATAAT